GACTGCTAGCACTCATCCTAAACCACCGAATGAAAAGCTCTGATGGTGAGCAGGATTTCCACACCTTCCCCTTGGTGACTCTTAGACACGCCAAGGCCTGAGGAGCATTATTATCTCCTTCCTGGAAACCCAGGCTATAGCAATGGCGTGAAACAGGATTCTGCATCAAGCACCAGTGAAGTCTTCCCATCTCTCTGGAATATGCCTTCTCTAGAGAACCGCCCTTTGCCATCGCAACTGATCCATCTGTCATTATCTGGAGAACAATGATCTCAGCCCGGCTTTTCAACATTTTGAAACCTGCCTCGGTTTTCTACAGGCTCCCTACCCCACTGTTTCCAAGATGCTCCGCCACATCGCTAACGATTTTAAGAGGCACCTGAGATGAACTCCTTTTATTTCCATTTTAGAGGCTACGTGTTTATTTTAATGGGAATGAAGAAAAATGACAACCACGGTCCCCAACCCTGTGATTTCATGAAAATTCTGGGGCTCAAAGGGAAAGTAAAAGAATCAGTGTTGAAAACTAGTAAGTCAGCAGCAGCGTAGTCAGTGCCCAGATAGCACATCCTCGGTTTGGGGAACAGGATCCCAGCGGCCCCCATCTGACAGGCGCCCTCCGTTTCAGCCGTGGTTCGCCCTCCTCCAGCCCAGACCACAGGCATTCTCCGCCTTTATTCCAGCTGTTCCCAGGCCCCGGGAACAGGGCCTTCACTCGTAAATACCTCTTTAAATGTTACCCGTGTTTCGCACCCAGTGCACGTCTCCTTCCAGGAACCCTCCAGGTTCTTCCAGCTCTCCTGGCCTACTCCCTTTCTGAATTCCTTCAAATATTCATTTAGAACCTAACTGCTATTTAAGTCTCTGTCCATATCCAGTTATTGCTATTTCCCTGGTGAAATGGAAGCCCCCTGAGAATCACCCATGGTCTTTTGACCCCTGGATTAGAGTGCTAAACTTTCCAGTCGCACCTGAGCACCAAGCAGGAACACAGGGAATTTGTGGTAAATGAAATGTTCCGCAGCAGGGAGAGAAGCGCCTGTCCCAGGCCCCCACGGAGCCCTCAGTTCAGGCCCGGGATGTCAGCCACACCTGAGAAAGGGCGTTGTCTCTTCAGGTCTGCCTGGGAAAGAGAGCACAAGGCCAGAGCCAGGAATTCTACCCAAAGGTGTGATTCTGTAGTTGTCTCCAGGGCAGGAATGAAAAAGGCAACCTTACTTGGCCCACATGCAAGTTGTCTCTGTTCCAAGGGCAAGTTCCCTCTGCTGACGCATGCCCACCCTCAGGCTGGAGGGACCAGAGGGGCCACAGCCTCCACTAGTGCAGACAACACTAGACCAGCAGGAGAACTGGCTCCACCTCTTGATTCATTATCCTATGACTTTGGCCTTTCTGGACCTCAAGTTTTTTAATCTGTCTAATATCTGTCATATTTAATTCACACTTGCTATAAGGCAAAAGTGATAATGACTTTGAATTATCATGTTCAGTAAAAATGTTCAGGGACACAGCACATCGATCTACAGGGAGAACAGACTGGGAGACCAGGGGGCTCAGTTCTCCACCAGGCAGTAGGAGGTCCAGGCCTTACCTCCAGGTGCCTTTGCCTGTCATGTGACCTGGGGTACCCACTCAGCTTCTCGGGGACACCACGTTCTTGTCCATAAAACTTGCCTGTGCACTAGATGATCTGGTCTAGGGCCAAATCCAATGTGAATCTGAGGCGCTCAGAGAACGATCACTAAACAAGACTCACGGCCACCACGGGCTTCCCTGGAAGCACTGGAATGTGGGGCGGGTCCTGATGCCCCGGGGTGTGGTGAGTCCCACACGGCATCACCGGAGGCACGCAGACACCTCTCCCCCCAGGCAAGATCTGTTGGCGGATAAGAGCAGACGTGCTGTTCACTCTCCCGCTCTCTACCTCCTGTTCAACTCAAGGCCTCATTCCCTTACAACCGTAGTCTTGGGTTTCTGGTGTTTTCTTTTCTCCTTCCTGTTCTAAACGACCACAACTTGAGAACCATAGTTTCTTAGTGCTAAGGCCTGGCTCTGAGATGAGCTACTCCTCCGGCTCCCCCTCAGACACAGACTGCTTTCATGAGTAAAGGACTGACAGTCACATGTAGAAAGGGCGCAGGGTGGGAACGAACTCAGGTGGCAGGAGGCAGGCAGAGGTCGGGGGCCCCGGTGGGACAGAATGCCCCTGTGTGCTTTGGGATTCCATCAGGGTTTGCCCGCTTCCCAAAGTGTAAGTCACAAATCATCCAGGGTTGCACTCGGTGTGGCCTCCCCTGCGAGTCCTGTAACCATGGTTTCGGACAGGCTACAGCACAGCTGTGAGCATAAAGGGAAGAGGCATTTTCTGATTTTCCCCTAAAACTCTACCTCCTTGAAAGAATATGTAAGGTGATCTGCCAACGTGATTCATAGGCAATCTCTGACCCTGGGACAATCATGAAGTTATCTGTTCTTAATAATGAGAAGGTGATTTCTCTGCATCTCTCCATAAGAAGCAGATGCCTCTCTTTTTGTGTGGCTCAGAGAACCCTGAACACATACACACTCAGAACCACATCTGCGCTAGGTGGAAACAGGTAACAAGTCTAAAGATACAGAAATTCACTTCCTCATTTAACACCATCCCTCCAAGAACAGCTAAAACAGAGCTTGTCTCTCCCGGCTTCTCTGGGTGCTAAGGTTGAATGCATTTGGCTTATAGTACACAGGCAAGGCCTGTTTCCTAGTATTTCGACAATGTCACCAATTTAACTCAACCTCAGACTTAGAAATGGCATCTCCGTACACAGTATCTTGAAAATCAAAACAGGGAAACACTATAAGTAGGTTTCGAAGCACAGATTTCCAATTACTCACAAGCAGAACCATGTTTGAGATACAACACATTCTGGATGGATGGCCAATGCCCTGGGCAAAGCAAGCTGGGCTGATGTTTCTGGACCCCGGAGGGGACATTCTAGAGAACACATTTTTCTCCCCTATGTCAGAAGATGAGCTAACCACCATGCCACAGCATGGAAAGGAGATGTCTTCCTCTTTGAAGGGAAAACAGCAGCTCCCTTTACCGGGATGTGCAAGAAGCCTTCAGTCCAGGGCTCCACGTGCCACTGCGAGGGCAGAGGAACCCACCCACACACAGTCACATACAGCCAGCCCACCACGCGCCTGTGGAAGGCACCGGGTTCTCGCCAACCTTCAAGCACTGGAGGCTCAGGGCTCTCTCAGCTTGCAAGTTCCCTGTAGCACCAGCTGTGCTGGAGAGGGCAGAGAGCCAGACCCTCTTTCCAAGTCTTGTCTTCCTCTCCGCCCTCCCACCCCCCAGGGCAACCTCTCCCCAGCTACGAAGTAGACAGAATGTGCTTCTCCAAGGTAGCTGAGACTTAGATACAAATACACACACACTCCGGATGACAGTTAAGTCCCCACACTCCACTACCAATGCCAAGGCCGTGTGTCCCCCACCACCACCACCACCAACACCAACCCTGGACCCCACGGCGGGGCTCCTGGACTGGGAGGCACCCGACTCACCCAGTCCTCGAAGTGGCGGCTCCCGTTCTGCAGCAGCTCCTCAAACTGGATGGTGCAGTTGGCCACGAAGTCGTCGTAGCCGATGGGGGCATCGTGGAAGACGGCCAGCTCGATCTTGCGCCCGTTGCACACATCGGTCACGAACTCGTCGTGCCAGGACGGACTGTTGGTCTTCTGCTTCGTCGCCGTTTGGCCGATGCGCGAATCGTCCACGTTGAGGGCAATGTAGGGGTCCAGAAGGAAAGTCTGTGGCCGGAGTCCCACTGCATGGCGCAGCGACCAGGCTGTGGGCTTCAAGCTCACGGCCTCGCAGATTTTGATCTTGAGCAGTCCATTGAAGACTACCATGGTCGGGGCAGGGAGTGGGGTCCGGGTCACTCCGTCCGCCCCGAGGGCAGGATGAAGAACCGACGCCCGGTGCTCCGAGCCTCGGGGACTCCCGAGTCCCCTCTCGCCCCACCCCACACTCAGCCTACACCTTGTAGGGTTGCACCCTGGCGAGGGCGATTCGCAGCGAGTGCATCTATTTCCTCGCTGGGTTCCTAACGGAAAACAGGGTGGTGGGGGAGAGCTGGGGGATGTTCGCGTGAGGAGCGAGTCCCTCCGCCCCTACCACCAGCGGCACCTCCAGAAGCAGAGAGGAGCTGTCGGCTCCGCTGCCGGCCACGGGGGACTGTCTCGCAGCCTCGCTGGCTCTCCGCGTCCGGGCTGCGTGGAGCGAGCGCCGCGTCGGGCGCTTACCTACCTTTCCGAAACATAATCCCCGGGAAATTTTGACTCCGGGAGGGCGAGGGGGCGGTGGGGCGGGGACGAGAACCCGGGGCGCAGATTTCAACCCGGATCCTCTTCGCACACCCAGCGCCCGCCTCTGACCGCGCAGGGCGGGGGATGGACCGAGGGATGTTCAGTCTATCCGGAGGGATGCATGTCGAGAGGAAATAGTCCGCCTCGGAGCCAATTTTTTAAAAATCCACAAGCCTCACAGCCAACCTGGCCGCCGCCTCTTGGGCGAAACAGCGCCGCTCCACAGTCGGCGAACAGGAGGCTCCAGGAGCCCGGAATCTCACATCCGCGCGGACTCCGGGCGCAGGCCGGCACCGGGCGGTGCGCAGCGCGGCGGCGGGGCCGGGACCGTGACTCTGCGCGGCCCCACCTCCTGGGCGCGGGCGCCCGCCCGCCGCGCTCCCCGCGGCCCCGCTCTCAGCTGCAGCTCGCAGCGGCCCGCCCGCTCTCCCCCTCGGTCCCTTCTCGCAGGGTCGATATGTGAGCGAGTCTCCCTCCCTCTAATGCAGGAAATGCGCAAAAGACGTCAGAGAGAGCGAGAGAGGGAGTGCGTGCGTGTGTGTGTGTGTGTGTGTGTGTGTGTGTGTGTGTGTGTCCACGGGCGCGCGCGTGCGCGTGCACCCCAGTGTTTAGGGAAATAGAAAGTTTTGCCGGTTGGGGGAGCAATACGGGAAAAGTGAGCTGAAAAGAGGACGAAGAAGAAGAGCGGGCCAACCGGCCTGAGTTGTGGCGGCAGGCGGGGAAGCCTGGCGGGGACTCGGCGTGGGACCCGGGAGAGTGGCGGTGCTGGGGCCCGGGGTGCGGGCGCTGCGTGCTGCGGTGACCTGGTCTTGACGCTCTGCCCGGGACGAGCAGGCCGTGCGCGTCTCCTCTGGGTTCTGCGGCCAACGCTGGTTTAGAACCACGGGTGGGAGAGCAGCGGGGTCGCACTACGGAAAAGATAATCGGGACCCTCCCCCACCCCAAGCCTCACTTGGGCCTCGGAGGCAGAGGGCAGCCGGAGGAATACTGTCTGTCATCCTGTCTCTAGACCCTGGGCTCGGCTGGGAGTGGAGGTGGGGGGCGCGGGGAGGGGTATGCAAAGCTCCTTGTGAGGTTTTTATACGTGTATTCTCTCTTTATTCTCTCTTCCCTTTCTTGGGGGCACTCTCCCTCTTGGGATCTGTCCTGGAGTTCTCAGGCTGCGAGAACTTGTTGACAAGTGAAAGCTTAGTTAGTGGAACCCCGGCTCGGTTTGTGTGCTTGTTTTCTTCAAAGTGACTTCACATTTACTCTGGACCTCGTCTGCCCTTTGGGGGGAGATGACTGTAATCAGCGCACCGGCTGCCGTCCGAGATGCGGGAAAACGGGGCGCGCCCTATGCGGGGCCAGAGACTGTGTCCGGGCTAATTTCCTCCATAACCTTTAAACTCCTGCTGGAAGCGGCCTAGGAGGCCAGTCACGTGAGGTGATCCCTGGGCTGCTGGGGAAGAATTTCCTCCGCTGGGGAGTAGGAGACCGAGAAGGCGGCCCCCGGGAGGGACTGCCTGGCGCTGTGGGACGCAGACCTGGGAGGGCGGGGCCGCGATCCGGAGGCTTGGGGCGCGGCCCTGCATGGAGTATTCTGAAGGGCAAGGCTAGGAAGAGGTCTCCACAACCTGCGAGCCGGGGAAGTAGGGAGGGGGGCTGCAGATGGAAAAAGAAAACCTCGGACCTCACCAGTGTGCCAAGTCAAGTCAGGGAGTTTGTAGAAATCGTTGTAAGCTGAGTGTTTATCTGGCGGGACTGGTTATACCCACCTCTCCATCACTTTTTCTCAGCAGAAAAAAAGTTATCATTACCTGTGGGTTAAAAAAAAAAGTTAAAGGTGAGGAAGGAGACAGTCCCCGGGGACAATAGGATATACCACGTGCAGCACACAGGTCGCAAAAATAATCAGAAAAGTCCAAAGGTGGTTGTGACAGACCCTCTGTCTCCTCAGCCTTGCAGTCGCTGCCCGCCAGGGGCCTGTGAGTCATTTCTAGAAGCCTGCCCTGAGAATCGGGCCACAGGGCAGAGAGACTGCTAAAACAGAGGCTTAGAGACAAACGAGATTGTTCATGTATAAAAAATTATGCTTTCCTTGGCCACTTCAAGCAGCTGGAGATTATGTTTGAAAATCTGTCATTTTGACAAAGCCAAACAGGGATACACCGATGTTGTTTAATTGTTATCTTCTGGACATCAGAACTTTTTCCTCCTAGGTTTTCACTTTCACCATTCTATTTGTCTTAGACTTCCCCCCCCCTTCACCGGGCATGTAGTTGACGGCAACCAGCAGAAAGGGCTTGATCTCCAGAAAATGCCCTTGGGAAGCAGAGACAGCAAGAGAATGTGGTGAGTGACCTACCCAACAAAGGCAAAGTGCAAAGGGTGCCAATCAACTCAAGATAAAACATACTGTAATGCAATATTTTTTAAACTCTAAATTTATGTAAAAAGGCAGCATGAACATATCCAAAGCTTAAATCACTTTAAATGCTGCATTTAAATATGACTTCTATTCCTGGGATTATTGGCACCCCTGAGAACTTGTGTCCAAGGTGAGTGCTTTATTTGCCTCTCTCCAGCCCTGGCCCTGTGGGGAAGTCAAGAAAGGCAAGGATTTCATGAAGTTAGAGAGCCTTGAGTGAATAATGCTCCATACCTGCTCTTCCTCTCAGTGAGTTCCGTCTTGCCATACCAACAGGGGGTCTGAACAACAGGGACTCAAATCCTTCCTCTCCAGGATGTTAAATAAGAAATACGTTTAGAATTATAGACCCACAGAACTTGAACTTTTTGCATAATATCCTATCCCACCCCTTCCGAGGCACGACCCCCAAATATATAAAGTAGGGCCTGTTGCCATCTCAGGAAGTAGCCATGCTTAAAAGCATTGGTTTTCTTCTTCCTTATGACCTACGTGAGGTTGCAGGAAGTCAGCAGCTGCCTCTTAGCAAAATGTTTGTTACACGTGTGAATAATTATACTGCAATCTTCCAGTACCAGTGTGTGACCTCTCAATTATAATTCTTTCTCTTCGTGGGGAGTGTGGGGGTAGTATAACTAAAGACTTGGCCAAACTGCCTGCTTCGTATCGAGTGAATATTTATGTAAAAAGAGGGAATGCTGATAGTCTACATGCAAACATTGCTAATTCCCTGCCCTTCTTACTTCCTTCTTTCTAATAAATCTCTCACCTCCCTACACTTAAACTTGGCTGGATGAAAATAATGTGTTCTCTGGGGGCCCCATGCAGGCACCTGGTGAGAGGCTTTTTAGGAGGAAGCCCTTAAATTTACCTGGGAAGGAAGGTCTAAGATGACTGTCTGCTCCAGATTTCATGCAAAAAGGAAAAGAAGCACTCGAGGGGAGGAAGATTTCAAATGTAAAATTCCAATCAATAATCAGTATTTACTTCCTCTTCTCTTGGCCCCTGTATATGCAAAGGGAGACCAAAAAAACCCCAAATTTATTTATAAAAAAATTGTGCATTCATTCTCACATGTTTGAACTTCAGCCACCTTCAAAGCACTCTCCATTTGATGTAATACACCCATCGAGACTTTTTTCCGCTGCTCAAAACAGATTTGAACTCATCAGTTTTGATGCTTTTTAGTGCTGCGGTTTTTTCTTTCACCTCTTCCACATCAGCAAAATGTTTCCCTTTGAGTTTTTTCATCTGGGGAAACGAACAAAAAAGGTCACTTGGCCTGACTTTGGGTGAATAGGGAGGGTGGGGAATGGGAGTCATGCTGTTTTCGGTCGGTCAACAACTGCTGAAGACTCAGCGTGGTGTGGGCAGGTGCTCTCATAAATTACCCATCATGAAATGGGCAAACGAATTGAAAGAGGCTTTAAAAAAAAAATCACTGAAGCCGAAGGCAGCCTCTCACAACAATACCAGCTGGTATACTGATACAGATGGGTTCCCAGAACACTTACTTACCTAGTGGGGGAAGCCTGCTACAACAGGCCCACCCTCTAGAAGTTAATTCCGTTTTTTGGGGGGTCCCTTCCATTCTTGAAAGACAGGGCAGCATTGATGTAGACATTGACAAAAATGCCCTTCGGGTTCCAGCTACGGCTTAGTCATCTGGTGATTTTTAGGAGACGGAAGAGGAAAGGAAGAAAAATGATACAAGAATTTTTAAAAGATGATCAAATTGTGGCCCTCTCCTTTTAAAATTAAGCTTCATCAGAAAAAGGACTGAAAGGGCAAGCGTCCCATTCCCTGACCAGTATGGCTCATTGGTTGGGTGTCGTCTTACAAAGTAAAAAGTTGCTGGTTCAGTTCTGTGTTGGGGCACATGCCTGGGTGTCAGGTCCAGTCTCCATTTGGGGTGCATACAAGAGGCAACCGATCCATATTTCTCTCCCTCCCTTCCCCTCTCTCTAAAAATAAATAAGTAAAATATTTTTAAAAGAGTTCCAAAGCATGTGATAAGTGCTGCCCTAGACGTAGGGGTACACCAGCCTCTCAAAGAACAGAGAGGATCAGCCGTTTGCCTGGGGCCCCGCCCAGAAGGTCAAGGCTTTCCCAGAGGAGTTCCTCCAGAGGCCAAGAGGGAGGGGAAGGGCGTTGGAGCCAAAAATGGAAACGAGTGACCAGATGTACCTGGCATGTGGCAGGCAGTAAGATGGGGTGAGGCAGGTTGGAGCAGATAATGAAGGACTTGTAGAGCCTGCAGATGTGTTTGAACTTTTTTCTTGAGAGACAAGATCATGCTAAAGTGGGGAAGAGGGTTACCAGAGTTAACACTTTAAAAAAGCAATTTTGTGGGAATGGCTATATTTCTCTCTTCTGCAATTTTCCCCCAGAAGACTCACTCCAAACCAGGACGTTGGAAGAACCAAGGCCAAAGATGATTTATGCTCCATCTGATCAAAAATCAAACATTCCTGACTGCTGTGCCTCTGTGGGTTGGGTGTCATCCCACAGACCAAAAGGTCGCCAGTTTAATTCCTGGTCAGGGCACGTGCCTGGGCTGTGGGCCAGGTCCCGGGCTGAGGACGTGCAAGAGGCAACCAATCAATGTTTCTCTCCCTCTCTCTAAAAATAAATAAACAAAATCTTTAAAAAATGATACAGTCTGTGGAGAGTGTTTATTTCAATCAGCTAAAGGAGGCAGGGAGGGGTGCCAGACCCCTAGACTGGCATGCTAATATTCAGGTCCTTGTTGCTGCACTGGCTGCTGCCATTCATAGAATGCCAATGGCCTCTGCAAAGATCTGCCTGGTCCTGATCTGTCACATATTCCACGCATGCTCTGCAGAAGAGAATTCAGCCACTGGGGCCACAGGGTGGAAGCTACAGCAGCGGGATGACCCAGAAACCTGCCAGAGTTTTGTTGGCGTGGCCCTGCTCTCGCCTAACACCCACCTGAGTCCCAGCCCTACTTTAACCCCTGAGCCCATCATGCTTGTCCTGCCACATCTTAATTTTGGTTCCATCTCTTCTCTGGACTCTGTTGCAATGACCCAGAGACCGAGCCTCACTCACACCTGCAAGGAAGTGGAGGGATCAGATGCAACCCCATAGAGTTTAAAGATGAGCCAGGGCAGCAGACGACCCGGCGCCCCTTCTTCCTCAGTCCTCTCAACCCTGAGACCCAGTCTTTCAATCATCATACGGAAGGATAACATTACATTCCACATCTTCGTTTCTGGGGTTGGATGTTGGGCTGCATCTTGGGGCTTTTAGGGATGTAAATAACCCATAGGCCTTTAAGTACCTGCTGTGTCCAGGACCCTGGGGCCAGTGCTCTAGGGAGGACAAATCAATCTATGGATGGTCCCACCCCAGTGGGACAGAGAGAGCAATTAAGTCATTTATTGAGCAGTCGCTATTGAGGGCCATGTCATTTGCAACATTGGGCAAGCAAAGGCAATGACACACCATGACTGTTTATTAGTCAGATGGGCCAGGGCATGCTGTTGTAATGATGATCCCTGAATCCTACGCTCTTGAAATAACAAAGGTCATTCTCAAGCATGCTCCAAGTCCACGGCAGGTTGGCTGGGAGGCCTGTTCCACATCGGCAGCATTGTCACTCCTGCATCCAAGCCAACAGAAAAGTCTCACCTGGGACATGGCTGGTCACAGGCAGAGAACAAAAGAACCTCCTGAGGGTCTCAGGCAATTAAATAGTCCTCAGAAGTGCTTCTCTTTGTGAGTTATTAGCTAGAACCAGTCACACAGCCCATCTCCCAGAACCATAAGGAGGCAGAGAAGTTCTCCCATCTGCAGGGGTGAGGGCCTGAAATATTTGGTGAGTAGCACTGAAGACTGACCCTATCCTCAAGCATCTGGTGCAGAAAGATAACTCAAGGTAGCTCAGGGTAAGTGACAGATAAATGTCATTGTCAGAACATGTTATAGTAATTTAGAGGCCACAGAGATCACAATTAATGGCCGAGGCCACTGCAAACTGAAGACTTCAGATGCCGTGGAGAATCCTGCCGATTATCAGAACTAGTGGCCGCCTGGGCTCCTCTTCCACTTCCCTGGGTACGTCCAACCTCACAGGATCCGCAGGGCCTTCCGGCCACGTCAGAGCCCCCTCAGCAGTTCACGGGCGTTCGGGTGCCACAGAACTGAGACTTTTGTTATACTCTGCAGGATTTGAGTAACATATTCTTTTTTTTTTAAGATTTTATTTATTTATCTTTAGAGGGGAAGGGAAGGAGAGAGGGAGAGAAATATCAGTGTATGGTTGCCTCTTGTGCGTCCCCTGCAGGGAACTGGCCTGCAACCCAGGCATGTGCTGGAAATTGAACCATGATCCTTTATTTCACAGGCCTGTGCTCAATTCACTGAGTTACACCAGCCAGAACGACATTCTTGAATACGATTAAATTCCTCCATTAGAGAAAACCGAGACATGGAGAAATGAACTGCCTGGCCACACAAAAGTCTGAATAACCAAAACACTAATTGGAGGTCTAAAGTCAACTCTCACTTCCTAGTTTAATTTTCCTGATTCTTCTACATTATCATGCTGGAAACGATGCAATGCCATGGAGTGGTAATAACTCCAAGTACATTGTAATTCCTTAGAAACAAAATTTCTGTAAATCCAAGGTCTAGGTTTGTTTTATTTGTTGGTTCCAAATTTAACTGACCTTAGTGCATTACAGACTTATAATAATGCTCAGAGGACTATGCTATTGACAAGAGTTCTTCCTGAGACTGTTTTGGTCGTACGTGTCTTTAACACAAAAGGGATGTGTTGTTTCTCGTGTCTCCATATCTTCTCTCCTAACACCCATGAGCTACCTTTCCGGCGGATGGTTTTATGTACCTGTATCAAGTGCAACAGCTGTTTCTCCATGCTCCGGGTGGATATCTCATCAATTAGCGGATGATGAATCTGTTTCGATAAGGTTATACAGCTTTCACACATTCTGGACCTTTGGTTAATCCATTGCTACTTCTAATTTACCTTTCAGAATCAAGGAGCTGAGACTCCAGGCAGGGGATAGTGTCTTTGTCATGGAAAACAATTATGTGGCTATAACCAATATGAAACAGCTGGTTAAAATCACAGGAGCTGTTGCAACCCGTGCATGTGTGACGCAGGCTGGCCAGTCCTCTCCGAAGGCCCCGGCGCTCCGTGGGCCTGGCCCTTACTCCTCCTCCCTGAAATCTCCCTCCCTTTCCTTCTCACTTCTCCTTGCAGCCCTTACCTCTGCCTGCACTGCAATCTACTTATTTGGAACCTGTTTTCATTCTGCCACTTCTTTGAAAGATCTTTGAGTTTGGAGACACAGTAGGACTCATCTCAATACTTACCTCTCCAGTAGCTTGGGCATAGTAGGCACAACTTTGTGCTCTATAATTATTTGTTACAAAGATGTCACTTTGAAATAAGAGTGCTACAAATCTTGTTCGTTTTTATCTTCCTCGTCCGGATGAGTTCCTTGGTGATGACTGGCTCCCCGCCGCAGTCCACCGCAAGCGGGTACTGTAGTGAGAAAGGCACCGGATGGCTGGGCGGTGTCCGGACCGCAAGGTTGGAGCCCGCAACCACTGTGCCCGGCTCTGCGAGCCGACAGCGCCCTCTGGCGGGGATAAGCGCTCCAAGCCCGGTTCATCCTTTGGCTTTGACCCCCCTGGGCGTCTGCTGCTCCACCAAGGAGCTCTGGCTCCAAAGCAATAGGAGTGAACAGATCAAGGAGCAAGACTACGTGGCCTGGGACCACTGGCCTTATTAACTTGCTCATCATAAGCAGGAGCAAATGCAGTTGGACAAATACATACCTGCTGTATGAAAAAAAAGTGCTGTCTTTTTTTTTTTAATAACTAGGCTTCTCAAAGTGAAGAATTCTGTTGCTATCACTGCATTAGAGCAACAGGCCATCCATTTGCCAGTTAGGCAAATGCTGGATTCAGGAAAAACAGAGATGAAGAAAGTGCAGTCCAGATGTTCGAGAAGCTAAAACTTGAAGGCAGAGGAAAGTTAGGGACCTCCACAAAGACCGCAGACACTGCCCCTGCTTTGTTCTTGACTTAGACCGAGGGTCCGTTTCTGGAACTAAGGCAAGGGCTGTGAGGAACGGCTGAGGAACCCCCAGAATGGAGAACGTTGGACACGGGAGGGACTGGGGCTCCCTCAGAGGCTGCTCCTCTCATCCCTGCAGGTAACTTGGCTTCCTTTCCTAGAAGAAAAAAAACCACAACAGATGCCAACAGCAGGGGGTTCACTCGACTTTTTGCCATCAAACCCAATAAACGCTTAGGAAATAAGAAAGAATGAGCATCATTCCTCCATCACCAGCTGAACCCCCTCTGGCCTGCAGTGCATCCACATCAGCACAGAGCCATAGGGGTGGGATCCAGCTTGGAAACTCAGGAACTTCGTTCTAGAACTTTGGTCAAATGACCTGCCTCTAAATGGGCCCTAGTTTATTCAAATGTAACAGGGAGGTTGTAACAACTCCCTTATAGAATAACAATGGGTGCTGTTTCAGGTAGGTACAGTGGCTGGCACAGAGCAGTTCTCAGGAAACCCCTTCACATGCTGTGTTCCCTGCAGGGACATTTCCTTCTTTAATCCATTCTGTCTCTAGCAATGATAGCTGCCCCAAGGTATCTTGGGATTTCGGTACAAAGGGTCCAGGAACACGAAGGGATTTGCCCTGGGCCCAGGACCCCAGTAAGAACGGCCCTGAGACCAGGTAGGGGGCACCCCCCTATACACTGCTCCTTTGTACAATAAGAGAGGGAACTGCAGAAAAAATTCAAGTTACTTGAATAGAATATAAATAATAAGGAAACAACACATGTGGCTAACCGGCATCCCCTTGCAGTGTGTTTGAGTTTGCCAGCCATTTAACCCACCAGAACCCTAGTTTATGTGTACTTAAGAAGTAGTAATTACTTAGTTCTGTCTCTGAGATAGAGCGGGCACTGAGCAACTCGCCTAACGTTAGCACTCTGGACACCAGCTCCTGTCCCCTGTCCTTCTGTGCGTGATGGACATACACATTGCTCCATTTGTTCGAGCTCCTACCCTGACACCCTTATCTCATGGGACCCAGTGTCCCCACGAGATGGGAACAGTGCAACAAATGACCTTGCGAGAAAAGTGCTAGTGCAAGAACTGACCTTGCCAACACAACATATAGCGTATCATTGTGGTTTTTTCTAGCAAGAGAAACAGAGAAGTGGTGAGTGTTTCCCACATTGTCCTCTGGTGGCATCCACACGTTCTGTGTTTGCCTGCCTGTGCCGGAGCGCACCTCAAGAGAAAAATGGGTTGGGCACACAGAAGGCAGGTGCAGTGGGAGGAGCACTTTAGGATGTGTTTGTTTCTTACAATAGTAACAGTAGCAGTAGTAGTAGTAGCAACAGTAACAATGATAATAGCTAACTAACAACTGTTGGTTGAAAACTCTGTGCCAGGCAGTAACATTTAACTACTCTTAATGACTAAAACAACCCAATGCAGTAGATATTACCATATTTCTCCAATTCTAAGACATTTTAAAAAATCACATTTTAACATTTTATAATGCACATAGTAAGAAAGTACTATGACATATCACAATTGCAGGGGAGGCTTTTTTAAACCTCTTCGTAGGG